GGTGGGTAAAGGTTCACTAGGGTGGATGTTCTCCTTGTCTTGGAGGTCCGGGTGAATAGGGGAGATGTGGGCAGGTGAGGCCCAGACACAGCCTCTGTTCCTTGGATGAGGGTGAAGAGGGGAGCAGCTACGGATAGGAGAGCAGCCCTCCACATAAGGGCTCTCACCACAGCGGTTTACAGCCATGCTTCGGCTACCTGAAGGTAGACCATCAGGGGACAGGAAGGACAGCTTCTTTCTCTCACCTGGGAGGAAAAAAAAGGGAAAAAAAAAGTATAGAATTTTGACTTTTCATCAGGATGAAATCTTCCTTTCCCTCGGTGTCAGACAGTGTGTGCAAAGAAATATCGCCCAGCTAGATCGATGATGTTGGGGTGCCTCAAGGCTTCATCCTAGGACCTTTACTATATATTAATAATCTGCCAAGTGCTTTAAATAGGTCTGATATGCAAATGTATGCAGATACCATGATTTATGTACATTGCAAAATCTAAGAACAGAGTGCACTTAAGTCAAACTTTCTTCTATATGTGTAATCATTTTAGCTCTATTATAGTTCCTGGCATGATTGTACCAGGTATTCAGTTTTCATGATTACTTCAGGTTTGTTGGAGGCTGGGATAGAACAGAAATATGGATCATGACGATGTTTCAAGGATTGACTGGACTGGACTGGACTGATTTTGAACTGATCATAAACACTAATCAAGCTTACCAGAGTAGCTGATCTATTAAAAACTAAAACTACTGCCATAAAAGAACAGAATATCACTTCACAAACTTTAGTTCCAGGCAGTATAGGACAACATCTGTGTCTGACCTGAAAGAGGGGTGACAGAATGCCGAAGGACGATGGGGGACAGAGTGGGCGACTGAAACACTGGAGAAGACCGTTCTGGAAACATTGGACTGGCCACGCTGCCCAGACTGTAAGCCCGACACCGGTCCTGGATAGGGCTGGATGAGAACTGGCCCTGCAAAAGTCAGAAATAAAACAATGTACTGACCAAAGGTGCATACACTGACCAAAGCAGTTCTATAGAAAAATATCAAATTTACAATTTTCTTTTTACTCCAAATGTAGTTGATCAGCCAAGACATGTTTGGTGTGTGAAGTCTGCTTTTTTCGTTTTTTGCACTGGAGCTATGAAGCCAAAGTATGCTGATCATCAACTAACTGAGTATACTGTTTTCTTGCATTGTGTCCAGCACTCACCGAGGAAGGTGTGGCAGCTGTGTTTCCACACTTCAGTGGTGAGACGATGACCGATGACATTATATCTCCATTGCCATTGTGGGCCTCCCTGTCCGGGCTGGAGGGTGTGGATGACTCCGAGCCGCTGCCGTGTCCGTCCAGAAACAGCTTCCGCCTCAGAGAAGACGAGCTGAGGCTCTCCTGCACCTGCTCTGAAACCTCCTCTGTCCTGTAGTAATCACCTAGAAGGTTTAGAAATGACAGACATGAAATAATGACAATGACAAATCCTTAGATTTCCATAATGGTAGATGGAAAAAAAACATAACTTTAATATATGTAATAAACATTAATTTATTAATCACGTTGGATCAGACACTATGGCATTTTCACATAATGCACAGGGCAGCTGGTGTAAACGAAAAAGTGGAGTTAAGTCATTTTAATTTGACAGCAACAAAAAGCATACTGCTTGTCAAATGCTTAAAAAAATGGCTTTTCACCAAGAGGAACATCTATTTGGTCAAAAACTCTGCAGCTTTCACAAAATTATGGATAATAAAAGACAAATTATTATTTTATAATAACGCAATACCACAATGCAATTCATAATGGGAGAAAAAAAAATGAAATCCAGTTTTTACCTAATACTTTTTGAAGATTAAAGTCCACAGGTAAAGACAGGATTGTCTGACAAGTTGCTGCACACAAGTCACAAAAGCAGATGTCAGTCAAAGACACACAAAACATTTGGTATTTCCATAAAACATGATGTCATTCACTATGAAACAAATATGCAACACAAACCATTGATTTTCTTTGCAGATTGAGGCTCCTCGGGGATAAGCGGAGATAAAGACCCTGGGATGAGACGGACAGAATTGTCTTGTCATTTTTATAGATATGTAGTAGAGACAGAGCTTATTCCATCTTACTTTGCAGCATGACTTACTTTTCTCATAGTGTGGCTGCACTGCCTGTTTGCTCGCTGGTGGCCCCCATGGGGAAGGAACAATAGCACCTTTAGTGAAAAACTGTGGGACAAAATAGAATTTGAATCAATCTTACACCACATTTCACGTGAAATAATGCCGACAGATAGACACAGTAGATGCAAGACTCATAGAAAACAGGAATACAACGATGTCTGACCTGTTCAATAGCATTTTGACGCTTTTCCTCAATTTCAGAGTCCGTCCTTGGTGAAAGAAAACAACATTGTGATAAAGCTGAGAACAGTTAGAGCAGCACTAATCACAGGTTTCAGTGATAATCCACGCACAGCACGGCTTACCTGGTCTGGCTAAGATATAAAGCCTGACGGTGGATGTCCTCGGGGTCTATGTGCACCGGGAGAAGGTTTGCCATTTCATCGATGGACCATTTGAACTTGGCTGGTGTCTGAGGGACAAATTGTGCTTTGTTAGGCTTCTTTTGATATTGAACACACTGGTCCCGATTAGGGAAAGGCAATGGTATTCATCGTTATTATGATAAATTGCTCCATGTTACATCTCAATAAGCTTTTCTGAGCAAATCCTGGTAGCTGTGGGCAGCATGACCATATTTAAGCATTAGTGTGATTAATTTTTTATCATGATAAACAATACACTTTTCTGAGTGACATATCAGCAATGCATTAAGAACGCTGAACTGCATATTTCTTTAAAAAGAGACTGAACTGGATGAACTGGTTCAACTGGATTTAATGCAGTGCAATATATGAAATATTGACTAAAAAGCTCAGCTGATGGCCCGATGGTGAGTGGTGAGTTATGATTGTGTCAGCATATTGTGATATTGGCCTATTGTGGAATGATTTTTAAATATTGTGATATGATATTTTTGCCACATCGCCCACCCCTACGCTGCGGACATCATCAGTAATACACCCCACTGCATATTATATTACATTAAGAACAGAATTAGTACAGTTTAATTGGATTTAGTTCAATCTAGTATGTGAAACACTGAACAAAAGACATTTATAGTTCTTGATAGTATGTTTTAAATGTGGTTTAAATATGGTTGGTTCTTTTTTTTCCCTCAGATCCAACTAATCCAACCCCAGCAAACTAAATATTGTGCCGCATATTATGTATCAAGAAAATGACTTTGATGATTCATGGTAAGATCATATTAAAGATATTGCCCACACCCAACATTGATACAACCCTTCAAGTTGACCAGGTGAGCTCAGCAACAATTCAAGCACCTTTTAGGCTCTACAAAACATCACCAGGGGTCTGTACAAGAAGGAGAATCTCTTTCTAGGATTGTTTTCAACAAAGTCACCCCAAAAAACACTCCTGTTACTTACAGCTGACGAAGCCTTGGAGCACTTGAAGACAGATGGACTGGGGACGAGGGGTTCATGCAGATGGTGGTAGTCAGTAGGACTCTCGAATGGATTGCGAATGGCTGGCCTTCCTGGGGTTTCAGGCGTTATCTGGAGCTCAACTACATCTCCCATCCTCTGAGGTTAATGTTGCCCACCTACCGCTGCTGCCTGGAACAAAGCAGAGACTTATATGAGTCGAGGAATAATAAGATAAACAGGGTTACAGACAACAGGTCACCTCAGCACATTCATCACCGATCAACGACGATTAACAGGCCATTCACAACCTAAAACTACGCATAATACAACAAAAAAGTCATGTGGAAACGACTAAAAACACAGCTAATCCGAGGTTTTTAACTCAGTACTCACACACACACAACAACGGCCTCGCTTGTGGTTCCTAGGTGGTTCAAACGTTTGATTTAATTTTCCCCCAACACACGCCAGCCAATCACGATCAAGAGAATCGCCGCTCGGCCAATCGGATGGACGCCCGGTATATGACGTCGTATCCTCTCCTCGAAGGTTCCCAAACGAGTGGCTGTTCGATTCATCAAGTTTCGGAGTCGACTCCGGTCGATTTTCATCTGGCAACAAAATAAAGAGTACAATATTAATATATCTTTGCAAAGAAAGCGAGTTAATGGTAGCTAAGTTAAAGAACTCCATTGATTTTTTTTAAATTCTCATAATTACACGGTTGAGATGTAAACAAAGTCATTCAGGATGGTTTGGTGTGAAATGCTCCGTTCTAGTGAAACTCGCCGAGTCAGGATTGTTCAATCACAGAAGGGTATGACATGAAATGATTAGATATATGCTGCCTGATATCTGTGGCATTGTTTTGTGATAGTTTTGTGATGAAGTTTAGGCTTAAATTGTATTTTAATCCATTTGTTTTAATACCTTCATGGCGGAGGGATGACATGCAGGGCATTGTTAGGCAAATTAGTCCCACGTGTAGGTTCACTGGTGCTTTTAGATAGTAAATAATAGAGTTATATTTGTGTTGTAGACATTGTGACCTCTGTTTCGTATCACTACCACTGTAAATAAATAAGTCATTGTCTCTACTGTGAACCGTTTCACATCAAACCACTCTGAATGAGCCTGTTTTCATCTCAAAGACCGAATTATTCAGAAATTTTGAAAAATTGGTGGACGTCCCCTTTAACTTAGCTGGCTAATGGGGCACCGAACAGTATCTGATTCTCGTTTAGGTGGTGAGGTGTTTTGGCAATGGCCGTGTTTGATTGTACCTTAAGCCAGTTTTTCGACACTAATATTACGTTGTGCTTTGTTTTCCACTTTATCTAATGTACAATTCAGCCGGACCATCGATGTTTGTGTGGCTGAAGGACGTATTTTTCAAACTAATGACTGACTTGCAGTGCCTCGAGTCCAAAGCTTTGGAGTCGACTCTTGATTCCTGAATGTCTGGACTCGAGGAGTCGGTTCTTTTTTTCAGATCGACTCCCAGCCAAATCCAAAACTTTACCGCTAAAGCTGCGATGAATGAGAACATCAAACCTGCTGTCAGCCTGTTTTCACCTTTTAGACGGTCTGGAAATATATGTAGCTAGACGGAGGTATTGTGCAAGGCTGTATTTCAGCGACGTTAGCGAGTAAAACGAGTGAGCGGGACCCCGAAGTAAGATTTACGGTGGAAGCTCCGTCTGTTGTCGTTGGATAGCTAACGCCAGCTAGCAGGCTAACCATGGCCAGCGCTGCGAGCACAAACATGAACGCCGTGCGGGAAACGATGGATGGTAAGAAAAGATTAACCGGGGTGGTGGAATTCAGTAGGTTAGTCAGCGATGTGTTGGTCTGTGCCCCCAACTTTAGATGTGTACCAGTGAAAAGCTGTGAAGAAAGATAGCTTAGCTTAGCTATCCAGCTAGCTAACCTACCCGGGCTGGAACAGGCTGCAGCGATAGCATAGCTAGCTAGGTGGCTAACGTTTGCTGGCTAACTGGAATTAAGTTTAATTTTATTATTATAGTGCGAGAACAACGACAAGAACAACGACAGTGCTCTTTCCACCTTTCCGTGTATTTAACTTGGAGGATTAATGTTACTCTGACATGCATGAGAGTAATCACACTAGTAACACAGAGGTGGGCGATGTGGCAGAAATGCAAGTGAATATCACGATACTTTTCAGATCTTTTGACGATATACCGCATGTTATGATATGTATTTGTCCTGATCTCTGATAAATTGGAGAACCACGTTTAGAAAATACGTTCAAAGATTGTGTGTAATGATTTATATGTAATGTGTTACACACTGTGCTGTGCTGAATCAAATCAAACAGGACTAATTATGCTCTCTTTTTAACCAAGCATGTAGTTGGGAAGTGCTTTAGGTACTGATGATGTCCGTTGTGTACTCAGAAAAGCATACTGTGATGTATCGTGGTGTAATTTATCATGATGATGATAAATATTGTCATATTGCCCAGCCTGAGGGTGTAACAAAACACATCTTCTAGGAAAGGCACAGTAACACTTTTTCTTTCCTAATTTCAGTGTGAACACCTTGAATACCGGCCAGTGCCAGTCGACTGTTGGTTTTTCAGAAACGACTAAGCTTTCAGATGAGCTATTTTTAATCGTGTGCTCAACTTAAAATGAACTTAAATTTGAGTTTGACCCCCATTTTGAGTGAGTGCTGTTTCAGGATAGATCTGTTACAGGATTTAATCACATTTGTGCTTTTTATTTCCTCCGATATCCCGTCCAGTATTTTCTCATGAGCCGATACTGATACCCACTGATGCAGATAAGCCATGTCTGATATTTTCGTGTTCTGTACATTTTTGGATTCTGATGTTAAGATTCTCTCAGATTTTTGCTGTTTTGGGAGTTAATAATGTCTTGATTCTGCAGACCTCTTCTTTAGATGCTACACAGATACAAAATCAGCCTTAAAAAAATCCCAAACCCTAAAATTTATATATGATTTCAGGAAAAATCCCTGTCATTTAGCATTGATATGTGTATAGTGTAAACCCTGACTCCTTTTGCCCATTTTACTCTTGACTGGATGCACCCAGATGCTTGTTTTGATTATTGACTGTGACATCCCCCTTTTTTTTTGCATATTGTATTAACATTTTTATACCCTTACTAGCCTAAATACCTCCTGGGTTCTAGTAACCCTGGAAAGCTTTTGCAAAGCAATGATTCTAGTTAAATAAATGGCGTAATATCTCTAATAAAATGCTGGATTGTTTAGTCGTCTTGCTTAATTCAGTTGTGCAATAAACAAAACCGAGGAGAAACAAAAAAAATGTCTGTTGTGTGCTGGTTGTCCAGTGGAGATGAGTTTGTTACCTCCTGTTTTAAACCACTAAACAACTTAAGAATTGTTGTGTTAATTGTGATATGGGTTGGTGTAGCCGCTGCTTTATAAGTAAATGAAGGCCAGTCAGTTGACAGTTGGGCATGTATTTTTAAAATAAGCTACAGCCTTCGGTTTCTAGTGTTTTTTTTTAACTCAGTACACAAACCTGCCATTTATAGGGTGAGGGGTCTTCCCTGCACTCTCATTTACCCCTGTTTGTTTGTTTATCAGTTCTGCTGGAGATTTCAAGGCTTCTGAACACCGGGCTGGACATGGAGTCGTTGTCCATATGTGTCCGTCTGTGTGAACAGGGCATCAACCCTGAAGCCCTGTCATCGGTCATAAAGGAGTTACGTAGAGCCTCGGACTCACTTAAGGTATGTCAACACTTAATTAAGACAAGGCACCCTGTGTTCATACATGGTGTCCAAAAGTTTGTAGACGCCTGCTTATCCAGCATTTATCTGAAGTCAAGAGTATTAATAGTTCCACATTGCTGCAGTAACAGCAACTAATCTTCTGAGAAGGCTTTACACTAGATGTTGCAACATTGCTGTGATGTTTTGATTGCATTCAGCCGCAAGAGCATAAGTGAGGTCAGGTACTGATGATGCATGATTAGTTCTGAATCACTCCAACTCGGGAGTGGAGCTGCATCACTCCAGAAAACAGGTCCACTGCTCCACAGCCCATATACTGGGGGGCTTTATACCCCTCTAGCTGACGCTTGGCATTGAGCGTGGTGATTTTAGGCTCATGCGCGGCTCCTCCAGAGCGTCCTAATGTATTGGTCAGTGCATTTTATGGAGCTTATACAAGCTGCATAACCCCTGTGTCAGCACTGCAGCTTAAAGTAGCTAAATTCTGAAAAGCTGAATTAGAAGGAGTGTCTGGGGACGTTTGAATAAAAAAACTGAGCTCACATCAGAACTTGGACATTTTATACCAGTCCCATATGCCACTGTTTCAGAAAGAGTGGCTACATATAATTGCACGATGCTCAGCTTTTACATTTACGAATTTGGCAGAGATTCTTATCTAGAGAAACTTACAGTTTTAATCATGTCACAGAGGTACGCAGATGTAGCATTAGGAATCTTGCAAATAGACTCTTATTTGTGGAGCATGGTCTGCTGCGTGGATGGCAGCAACTACAGCATCCATAAAAGAGCAAGCATTGATGCTAATTCTACACACAAACTATGTACTGAACTAACGTTACCACTTTACCGGTGTTTGTTTTCTGTGTTTTTTTTGTTTTTTTTTTGTTTGTTTCAGGTCGCTGAAAACAGTACAAGTCAAGGGTAACTAGTCTCAGCTTCTCCATCTGTAGTACAGCCACATTCAGCCTCTTCATCTTTACTTGAAGACTTGACGTTTGAAATGAATTTCTTCCAGAGACTGGTGTGTTTTAAATAACGAACTTGATTGACTGGGTTTGATCCGTTTTCACGTGCCTCAATTTCTACATGAAGCACTGTTGAGCAGGGATGACTTTCCTTGCGTTGAGGTTTTGACCATCAAGCCAAATAACAGTTCCCACCTATTTGTTTTTCCTCTCTTTGTAAAACCTTCAGCTTTGTCCAGTTTCTGATGAGTACTGTATGATGGCTTTTTTCATGTGCATTTAATGACCCATCTTTAGGGGTGTCTGTGCTCCATTTGTTCACAGAGTGTATTTGTATATATCCAGTATTTTATTTGTTTACATGATGTGTTTGTAAAATAAATGTTTGGTTTTTTTCCCCCAAAAAGAAAAGTTTGATGTTGTGTTTGTTGACTAAGCTCTGGCTCAGTTGTTTAGAACAGGCAGGTGTTTGTGTTTGCATTTTTAGCCTCTAGGTGGTGACATGCCGCAGCAATTGTTTCTCAGGACCTGCTGGGTTGCACTGTATGATATGCCTACGACGTGTGCATCAATATGATGGGTGTTTCTGATAAAACCAGTAAGATCAGGTACGAAATGGATGTTTCTAATAAATGAGCAACTCAGTGTATACAGTACTTTGCAAAAGTCAGAGACCACCCTTCATTTATTTAATTCATATGATGGGCGAAATACAAAGTTGTTTGTTTTTCAGGAGCTTTTGCACAAGGAAGGGGAAGGCAAATGAAAAGTAAAAGGAAGACATGTATTATTCTCTAAATTATTATTGCCAACACAGTGTTAGACTTTTTAAATTGGTCTTGAAAAATACACTGGCCTTCAAAAAAAAGTAAGAAAGTATTGAACAGAAATTCTGTTGCTGCTCTCTGTCAGCCGGTTATGTTGTGCTGTTTTCACCCAAACAATTCAGTTTCTTAAAAGTTTTATCTAGTTGTTGCCAAATTTTGCATTCTTCTACCAAGTCAGGCCCCAAAGTTATAGGCAAAAGTTTGAATGATTAATCTTCTTTCCAGTAAGTCAGTATGTTGCTCTGTTGCAGTGTCAAATAAGGCCTCTGACAGGTGGACAGTGATCAGTGGAGGAGGTTTATAATGGAAAAGTAACATGCACCTTTCTGTTGCCTGTTTCTTTCATGAAGCCACGTGGAGACAGTGCTGTCATTCCTAAAGATGCTGTTAAAGATGATGTGTGTTAGCCGTTTTGAACTAGGGTGCATATAACTGCTGATAAATTACCTTAAACGGGAATTCCACTGATTTTTCAAAATCCCTGCATAATTAAATCAAAAAGGTGTGAACAAAGCCATTTGGAGTGGTTTGATGTGTAAAGTGCCATTCTAGAGAAACTAGAGAGCTGAGATTTGTTGACAGTGGTGGTGATGGGAACCAGACAGCTGAAGAGTTCAATGCCTCTAAAAGCTCCCCAACAGAAGATTAATATATGAAATGATTATGAATACATTGCCTGATGCACATTGTTTTACGATAGTTTTGAGAAGGTTTTAAGTAAGTAATTAATTCATTTTGAAACTACATTCATGGAGAGGAGGTTATATATTCTTTATTACTTACCAGAATCATACCATTATAAACCTCATATACAGGTCCACTTGTCCTTTTGGACGGTAAATAAAATTTGCATATATTTGCATTGTAGACATTGCAATCCCTGATTTCTGAAATCGCCACTGTAAAGAGATCAGCCGGCACGTTTCTCTACAATGAACCATTTCAAATCAGGCCATTCTGAATGACTTTCTCAACCACTGAATTGTACGGAAAATTAGAAAGATTCATGGATATGGATTAAGCCTAGTTTTGGACTAAACTGCAATGTCAGTCATGTTTCACCATTAAAAAAGCTGTATTTAGTCTAGGTTTAGGCCTAATCTGGTCTTGTGGAAAAATGTACCTCATTTACAAAAAAAAACTTGTGCAAAAACCATCCATTTAAAAGTTCACTCCAAAGGCCGTTTCTTGCACCTTTATTTCTGGAGAATGTAGATCAGCATAAAAGGAAACTTGTACCCAGAGAGAGCTTCATTAGCGTCCAGCAGCGCTGATAGCGAGAGGTGGCTGTGTCCTTGGCTCCTGCGGACAGAAGGCCTAGTGTATGACCCCCCCCACTGTGAGAGAGAACTCATTTAGCTGATGCGTCTTTAATCGCCTCGGTCGTATGGAGACGCAGCCCCTCTCTCTTCAGCAAACACAATCTGAGTCTCTGGGGAGAGGCCGCATGCAGTACATTCTCTGATTAAATGTGATGATTTAATTACAGCAACTAACCCCAGCATTTGTCAATACAGTGCTTTGTTTACACAGTAATGCATGGAACATCTTTATGAAAACAGCCTGCAGTACAGCCAGCTGGTCTGTTAAACAGAAAGGCGAGGTGTATTGGTACACTGTTCGCAGAACTCTTAGGTTCTGTATAGAGTCATTCTATGACAAGAGAGCCATTCGAGTACTTCTGATGCATACACCAGTGATATTATCGTCACCTGCCTAATATGCTGTTGGTCCTCCACATGTGGCCAAAAAAGCTCAGACCTGCCGAGACGTGGACTGTAGAAGACCTCTGAGGATGCCTGGTGCTGAAGGTCCTAGCAGCAGATCCTGAAAGTTGCAAGGTGGAGCTGCTGTGGATCAGACTTTGTTTCGGCACATCCCACAGATGCTGGATCGGATTGAGATCTGGGGAATTTGGAGGACAGGGCATCTTCGTCATGTTCGTCTAACCATTCCCAAACAATGGGTGCATCATCCTAAAGGAAGAGGCCATTGCCACTGTTGCCATGAAGAGGTGTACCTGGTGACCTTTGAATGCTCCAAAGTCCAGTTGTGACACCTGCATGCTTATTGTAGACACCTTTGACAGTGGACAGGAGTTAGCGTGGGCGCTCTGACTGGTCTACAGCTATGCAGGCCCATACACAGCAGGGTGCAATGCACTCCCATGATCAGCATTAAAATTTTCTGTGACTTCTGTTGGTTCAGACCAGACGGGATAGCCTTTGTTGCCCTTTTGCATCTTTGAGCCTTGGGTGTCCAACACCCTGTGGTGGGTTTGTCCCTCCTAAGACCAAGACAGGCAAGTACTCACATCCAAATCAGGTGAATGGTATAGGAATTACAACCATTTTCAGCCACCTTCCACTCCCATTTGAGGGGGGCAAAAAAAATAATTAGACAATTGGCTGCTCAGCTGTTCCATTACAAGCTGAGTGTTATTCCCTCATTTTTTCACTTAAGTGTGGCATTTGCATTTGGAATCTGCTGCTGTTAACTCTCCATATGAAGTCCAAAATGTTTTCACTGCCATTAGGCTTAAAATTCAATATAATGGCAAAAACATGTGTGGCCAAAGTAACTATTTGATACATTCTAAAAAAAAAAGAATGCCCTGGTGAGCTCACCACCAAAAGGCAGGGATGACCATGGAAAACAACTGTGGTGGTTAACAAAATAATTTTTTCCCTGTTGAAGAAAATCCCTTCACAACAGCTGGCGAGATCAAGGACATCCTCCAGGAGGTAGGCATATCTGCGTCAAAGTCAACAATCAAGAGACGACGTCACCAGAGTTTGCTATTTAAAAAAAAACCCAAAAAGCCTGGAACAACTTACGAACAGGTAAGCCAAAGATCAACTTGTACCAGAATGATGGGAAGTGCATGGAGAAGGGAAGAAATTGCTCTGGATCCCAAGCATACCACCACATCCGTCAAGCATGGTGGAGGTAGTATTATGGCACAGGCACATATGGCTGCCATTGATACTGATTCACTTATATTTATTGATGATGTGACTGCTGACAAAAGCAGTGTATTATTAATTCACTAATGTGTTTTTAATGCACTACAAGGCCCGAACGTGGACTGATCCAAACCAACAGGGGCCCCATTTATAAAACATTCGATTCTAAATTTGTTCTGCATACAATTGATTACAAGAACACAATATAATATGGATAGTTCTGGTTCCAAAATCTGATTGGCTGTATTGCGTTGGAAGCCGTTGTAAAATACACGATATGTCCGCACTTATGACTGCCTCACAACAGCCGAACTCTGTATTACCGTGCCACGAAAGTTGTGCTGTTAATGGATTGATTTTTGACTCTTATACTGCTTGCATGGACCACAGAGTGTACTGATAGAGTATGGCTGACAACTTATTTTCTTAATGGAACTAGGCTGGTCGGCTAGCTAACAGGCTTAACAACTCCATCATTAATATCACAGGCTTGAGCTAAAGTGGTTACGATGTAATTCACAGTGAAACTGCAATATGAAAGTCTAAAGAATGTCACTTGAATGGCTTACGTGCACCAAATGTCTGTGTTTCAGTCAGAAGTAGCACCAAATCCAGGCCGAATCCCAAACGCCTCATGTACTCCCTAAAGATTGTTCGTTTTATAGCATATATTTTACAGCAGCTTCAAACACAGTGCAGCCAATTAGATATTAGAACAAGCCTTGACAGTCAGATAGGTGAGTTTTAAAGAGTTAGATGGGTTAGATGCAGTTTTATCAGTTTACAGTGAGACTTGTGGGTGTAATTTGTGATCTGCTTCATCAGGACTGTCACAGTTCTGTTCTACACATCTGGACCCATATGGTTTGAATGTCTCACAGTGAGAGTGCTGAGCTTGTGCTAATGTCTGCCTGTCTGTTATAATTGGATGCAAAAGTAAAACTGTTCCTATTCAGCACCGTTGCACAATGTTTGACGGCCTATTTAACTTTTTTTATCTCTGTAATGTGACAAATACAGTTGTATGCAAAAGTTTGGGCACCCCTGCTCAAATGACATATCTTGATTTTGTAAGTGGAAATAAGTTAACATCCTCTACAGAGAACACTCTTCTGCACACTTTATTACATGATTGCTGTTCATTTGCTGAATTTAACATATTGAGCAGAAATAAAAGAAATAAAATGTGGCTTGTGCAAAAGTTATGGCACATTTTATATTTTATGTATTATATTTTTCCAATATGTTAAAATCTAAAAACACTAAAATTTGCAGAAAATATTTGTGTGTTCTCTGTAATGTTTTCATACACAAATAAACAAATGCATAATGATTTGGGGGGGGGGCGTATTTCACAAAGTAGGATTCATGCTGGGTAACTAGTTGATGACTGTCTAATAGCAATGTTCCATAGCTCTTCTTCTATTGGACAAGCTTGTTTTTTTGTCTTTGTTTGTTTTTGTTTTTTTTGGACAAAGTTATTAGCCTAACCTGGCTAACTAGGCTAAATACGCTAATTCAGAGATGTTATGAAGGAGGAGAGCAGCCACTGGTTAAAATAAGACTGGGAGAGCTCATAACACACGACATGGCGTCTGTTTACAGGA